GGTCATGAGCTCCGTCGACACGAGCAGTAGTGGTCTGTAGGGTTAGGCCGGATGGTATCATCTTTTGGGTGGAACTTCACCCCTGAAAACGAACAGGCGGTTTTCCTGTGATCGGGCGTTTGGATTGCGGGCAGGAACGATATTGAAAGTGCGTCGTCCGTCGCGGAGGTTTTTCCCGGCGTCTGCATACAATAGGTGTCGGTCCTTTTTACTTCGTCGTTTTCTTTTCTCACGTGTCTTCTCTTTTGATGTTGCCTGGATGTAGGCGGCTTGATGCATGGGTAACCTATCGTCGTCGGTCTCGGGGTTCAAGGAAAGTGGGCGGGCTCGTCGTTTCCGTCACCACGACTGATTCAGAGTCGAGAGTTTTCTATTCGTTTTGGCGAAGTACCACTGTCTTCGTTGTCGTCGCCCCGGATATTAGCTTGTTGGTGCATGTGCTTTGTTTGCGCGTTTACCTTGCGCTATTGATGTTTGCTTTCAGGATACTCAAAAGTGCGTCGTCCGTCGCGGAGGTTTTTCCCGGCGCCTGCATACAATAGGTGTCGGTCCTTTTTACTCCGTCGTTTTGTTTTCTTACGTGTCTTCTCTTTTGATGTTGCCTGGATGAAGGCGGTTTGATGTAACCTATCGTCGTTGTCTCGGGGTCAACACCATGTAGTGGAGTCGTTGTTTCGGACACCATGACTGATTCGGACATTTCAAACAAACGAAAATATAAATATCCGATCAAATATATCACATGTATTACGCATCCCTACAGATAACGACGCACCAAACCCTCCCGGCGCTGCGACGATGCCCCCTAAAAGGGACAAGGGTGCAGATAAAACACTAACCCAAATCAATTAACCCCCTCTCCACACTGCCTCCATCATCATTGCTAGGGGACACTCACAGCGACCTAAACCCCTCAGCAACGAGAAACCACAGGACACTCATCAACCCACCTACAACACCACCTACAGCAAACTAAACCCCTCAGAAACGAAAAACCACAGGACACTCATCAACAACACAGAAGGTGGATCGGGCAAGTAAGGCTTCGTCCCGATACCACCAACACCCTCCGAACAACGACCACACAGCCATCGCGCATGTGTGCTACAGTACCAATGCGCAAGCGTCAAGAGTCTATCACGATCTCTTCCACCCCACGGTCCCCTGCTCCCATCGGTAACCAAAGTTGGCCACCAACTTTTGCCTTAGTTGCTCGAAGTCGTTGTCCCGCTCGACCACCTCCGCCTCGACCTGAGACGCAAGCCTGGGCGCCTCAGGGTGCACGATGTCGTCGTCGAGCTCGCCGTCTGCTCCCGCCCAGTCGCAGTCCGCCTCCAACAGCTTGATGTCGTCGTAGGCGAGAAGCATGTTGTGCAGGATGAGGCACGTGAAGAAGACGTTGTCGATCCTTTCCCTCTTCCTGTAGAGGAAAGCCATCTTCAAGATCCTGAAACGCCCCTTCACGACGCCAAAGCAACACTCGGCGTCTTTGCGGACGCTCTCGAGCTGCCTCTTGAACCCCGTCTCCATCTTGTTGGAAGGGGCCTTGATGGGACACTGGAGCTGCCTCCACTGAGCAAAAAAACATTGGCGGGTGGGCGGGTGGGTGTGGGCGTGAGTTATGTTGTGGTGGGTGTAGCACTGATGTCAAAGGAGACACGCGACGACGGCAAGCCAAGGAGTCAATTTTACATCCCGTGAGACGACGAGGAACGCTAACAGGACCACTCGCCAACATGCCTGTAACACTCGTCAACATGCCTGTAGCAAGGCACGTGGCTCGCACAACATATTTGGAGGTGATGGCACCGCGGGAACATCTCCCATGACGGTGGAAGCAAGAGGGTGAATGAAACATGGGCGCTCTCTTGCGGCCACGACGAACCCACCTTACCATGGTTGGTGGGGGGCGATCGGAGTACGTCAACACACTGAACACTGATCGTACATGAACGTCGTCTGCAATACAAAGAAACACATCCATTCCCCCCCCCCCCAAAAAAAAAAAAAAAAGAACCAGACGGCCCAAAACAAGAAGGCATTTTCGGAAGAGCGGAGCAGCTGGGTCGAACAGGTGACCACCGATTGGTCCGTCCGCAATACTGCAGTACCAACATCAAACAGCACGCGTGTGTTCAACCATCTTTAGAACACGCCAGCTGCTCTGCCCAACGGCGGCTCGTATCCTCACGAACACGACGGGACATCAACTCCGGCGCCACTCTATACCATCAACTGCCTGAACTACGAATACGATGCACTCACGTAGTGGTATCCACCGTCCACGATCAACCATGGCCCTTTCTCGTGCACGTCCTCCCCGTCTTTGCCCTTCAGAGTGTACTCCACGTCCTTGTACCACCCGTCTCGAACCGAGTTGGCGAACTTGTCGAACCTCACGATGGTCTTGTCGTTGTGGGCGCCGGGAAAGCCCCGCGTACACGACATCACGCGCAACTCGTGGCTGACGACTACATTGTACACGATCGTCGGGTACCCTTCCTTGCCGATGAACGACGGGCGCTGGCTGTATGGACAAAGCGTCCATTCGATGTGCGTGCCTCCATCGAGCCCATCGCGCCCGTCATGCCGACCTCGTCGTAAGTCTGCATGATCTCCTTCAGCTCCTCCCGGTTCGGCATCTTCACCCATCTCGGGTAGAAGTCGCGAGCGAATCTCGCCGTGAAGCTGTGAAACAGGTGGTTCACCGTCGCCTCCCCCATGCCGGTGAACTCGGACACGTCGTCGAAGTAGTTGCCTCTGCCCAGTATGCGAAGGACCGCCAAGACCTGGTTCGTAGATCGCCACGAACAACAGATTAGGGGATAGGCGGCCTCATTAGGGGTGGAACGACATTTCGGCGATGTTTTAGTAGCGGCGCATAAAAAAAAAAAAGAAAGTTCGTCATTTTGGGGCTGGCCTCTGGTGGCAACGACTGCGTTTCCCACGCCGTTTCTTGCTGTAGGTGCCCAAGCAAGTGCAGGAGTGCAGAGTTGTCGTCAACTGCATCTGGTGGCAAGAGCTAACTCCGCTGTAAATACTCCGGAAAGTTATGCCTTTTTCTAGATTCATTCGTGGAATGCGGCTGTATAGACATGATTCAGCAGCAAACCCTAACGGTCATCATGTCGTAAGCAGCAG